GATGTCTGTAATGGTGGGGTACAATGGTAGGGTTGCTGGTTCTGCAGGGTTTTTTGTCTTTCAAATGCTGGGTTCTTGTCTCTGTTCCTGGGTTCCTGGATGAATCAATGCAAGGTGATGGCCCAGTCATTACAGGCCATTCAGTAGAGGCCTGCTACCATTGTATTTCAGTCATTCCCAATCATTCTCATTCATCTGGGAACCAGTTTACATGGGAGAGGTACGTGACTCATACAGTTGCAATATGAGATGCCAGGGCAGAGGACACAAGATGGAGGCTTGACATATAAAATGGAAACTTGACATGACTTTGGTTCACTTACAAACACAGGCCTAAACCATACAATATCCATATGAAACAATAAAAATCAATACAAACTTAATAATAATACAATATAAAACAGTGGATATCCAAAACCAAAAACTTGCTACTAAAATAAAAATGTTAAAGCTTGTCCTAAATCTGAGCTTGCTTATGCTTGTTTATAGGGAATAGAGAGGAAGAGAAAGAAAAGCCAGAAGTAATTGGGGAAGGAAGCGAATGCGTATCTATCATATATATATATATATATAAAAACAAAGAAAAACTGGGGGTTTTGCTACAACACTTCCCTGCCCTCCCTCTGCCAAGGAGGACATCACTGTCAGCACTGACACCTTCCTCAGCATGTGAGAGGCTGTGGGGATATGGGCTGCTGAATAAAATTCTGAACTGTGTTCTGCCTCCCTGCATGCTATAAGGGAGGATCCAGGGGACTTTGGGTGGGCCAGAGCACGGGGGGGGCGGGGCACTGGCCAGGGCTTCCTGAGCTACCAATGGATGCAGCAGCCTGAGAGAAGGACAGGGTGGGACAATGAAGGCCCGAGGGACACGTGTCACTGGAAGGGGGTGTTAAGGTAGGGCAAGGGCTTGGACAGGCTATCTCTGCTGGTGCCTTTGCAGAGGTGCAGCCTCAGTCTCAGTGTGCCAAAATATAGGTCAGCTCCCACAAAAGGCCATTGTCGTACAGGCACAATGGAACTGATGATTGTAGTCAGTCACGGACATGCACTGTGCCCGCAAGACCTTGACCTTAATGTACCACTGCTGTACTGACCAGGAGTGCCCTCACTCATGCATGCTACCTGACAGGGCCTCATAAATGTGGGCATGATCCCAGAGTGCCACGAGATTGCTGACCTCTTGCCGGGATTACTTGGGGGCCCGGATGGTCGGCATAGGCATGCACACATGGGGAAGGCCAGGGCTTGATGGGGCACATGACAAGGATGACATGGTCATCACACACTGACTCTCTGGGCCCCCACACAGCTATTGCTGTGTGACCAGCCCTTAACAGTGCCCAGCAGTGCTCAGCAGATGAGCATGGCCAGGGACTGGGAGCTGTGTGGCAGAGACATTTCACCACAGCACCTGCAGAGAGACACTGTTGGGGGTGAGCAGCAGCAGGGAGCAGCTACTGGCCCTGCTGCCAGAGACAGACAGCCAGCAGCCTGGTGGGGGATATCAGTGCTGGGCAAGGGATGCAGAAAGCTGTAGCCTAGCAGCAGCTCTGCAGAAGGAACAGACTAGGTAGAGGCAGCCTGTGGCCTGTTCAGGGGGGCACAAGAGGGCTGCGGGCAGCTCTTGGATAATGCACAGGCTCCCTCAGGAACCCTGTTGTGTGTGTCCCAAGGCACAAAATGGCTGATGGCTTTTATACCCAATAGCCAGGGGCTGTCAGAGAGCAGCCCAGCCCTGGAGCAGATAAGGCTGCCATCCAGATGTCCTGGAGCTAGGCTCAGGCTGGCTTAGGCCAGCAGGCCCAGCACTAAAGTTATGTCTACTGAGCATTAATTAATTATGACTAAATTTGATACCTACATTTGCATGTATCAAATTTAATTGAGTTTGGCTTAACTTACTGTGCAGTAAGTGTGTGCATGTGTAGATGCATGCATGTACTGTGCAAAAACTTGAGCTAAGGCATGTTAATTGGTCTCATATAGATGTGCCCACGGTCTCTAGGTTTTTTTTATTTAATCCTATAAGTATGTGCATGCATATGCTTTTGTATTGCAGCAAAATGTGGAATTATTAAACTATGCCACATGAGAAGAAATGAGAAATGTTAAAGGTTATTAAATACTGGGTGGGTTGTTTTTTAAAGCTACAAAGTGGATCAGTACAAACTACAGCATGTAGCACAGGTGTTTCTGTAATTGATACACAAAATAATTGTTCACAAGCCAGCAAGCCCAGACTTTCCCTTATATAGTTTAGCTTCATGCATTGCAGACTTGTGAATAGAGATATGTGCCAAAAGAGACTGCATAATCAAATATCCAAAACTTTTGTGTGATACAAACGATGGAGACTGTAATGGGGGAAGAAAGGTGTAGCAGAAAGCTATGTCAGATTCCAAACCCACATCTGTATCTGAATTTCACTGCCAAGACTCATTTTTAAAATAGACTGAACAAAAACATGGATTTCAATTCACTCAGACTTTTGGGTGGGTTAGTTTGAGATCATCGTTATTTCTAGGAAATCTGTAGAAAAAAAAAGACTCTAAAATTATAACTATATGCATTCCATACACTGTCTTTGCTATTTTTCTTTCTTATTTTAGAGGAGTTTTATTCACATGAAAATGAGGGTGGGAGGAGGGGGTGTTAAATCCTTTTTAAAAAAGGAACTGGATAAATTTGATAAGAATGTAGAAGTCCCCTATTATAATCCAACGCATTGCCAATATCATGAGAATACACCACAGCAACAGATGAAAATAATGTATAATGATGATACATCACTATACATTACAGTGATGTACAGTGATGATTCTGACTGATATGTTCACCCCAAGGTGTGCTTGAGCATCTGTTGTTTATTTAGATAGTGGTTTTAGTCCAAGTTTTGAGATACTTAAGTAGCTGAACATCTTTACCCTTAAAGGCTATCAAATGGGAAAGCTTAAGAAGTTTAGTGTGAAAGCATATGCTAATAGAAAAAGGTTCATTAGCAACAAGGTAAGTTCAAATGGAAGACATTGTATATATCCTGGAGAGCTTTTTACAGAGAGATGTTGATTTGGGATTTCCTGCTGTTCCAAGGCAATTAAATCACATTAGGAGCTAATTCAATAAGGTGTAACTTTTTAACAATCTTATCAGTGAGTGGATGCCTGGATTCTGATTTTACACAGTCTTCAAATCAGGAGTTGAAGTCTTTCTTAAAAAATTGCTATAGCTCAACCAGAAGTTACAGGCTTGATGTTGTAAATTCCCTGGTGAAAGATTCTGGTCTGTATTATGCAGGCAGAGTGACTAAATATCATAATGTTGCATTCTTGTCCTATAGTATATGAGCTGCATTTAAGTTCCCTTGTATAGACTGTTCCCCTTTATAGTGAGGGTATTTAATACGCTACATGAACACCTTGACTGATACAGTTCTTTCCTGACAGTCTGTTATACTCATATAATGCTAAAGGTAGTCCTATGCATAGTAGTTTTATTATAGCCTATGAGTTACATTTAAAAGCTAAGGAGAAGGCTGACAAATATTGTATGCAGTCCTTCCTGGAAATTGTAAAGCTGCAAACAGTCAGACAACCCAATAGATTCTATTAAAGACATCCATGGAAAAAAGGGGGAGCCCAGGAATTGTGGGAATGAACACAGGTGTTGGTGAAAGAGGCAGAATTAGTTCAAGAGGATGGAGGGAGAGACTAGATGATAGGAGTTTCATTTGCAGGTTGAAGTAGATTTAACTAAAGACATTGGTACAGTTTCATCCAATGTAAGGTAAGCTGAAGGTTCCATTCAATATGTCATTTTGGCTAGGGACATTTAAACTGGTATAAAAAATTGGAAGCCAGTCTAAACCTGTAACAAAACAGAAGTGCACATAGACCAATTTCAAAGTGGCAGGATCCAGTTCAAGGTAGATCTGCATGGGTGTCATTTTAATACCAACAGTTTTAATACCCAATTAATACCCAATACAAACTGGGTTTAAATACCCAGGTGAATTTTGATTGTGCTCACTGATAGTCAGAAGTCAAACACTTCATGCACAGCCTTTCCTGACTACCTAGAAGGAATGTTTCTTTAATGAAAAATTTTCCCCTCTATTTTGGCCCAGTTTTCTTGAAAACTGTAATACAATATCATCTTCTATGCAAAAAAAAAGTTGAAAAAAGGTAAATTAAATAAGTATATGGGTATTCTATCATTGCATTGAATTTTAGAAACCTTCTAGCAAATTCATAGGTTTATATTAAAGGGTCAGTGTACGGGTCTTACAGTAATTTTTTTAGAAGCAGCTATTTGACTGAATTTCTGTTCAAAATTCTTTATAATTATTCTTTATATTTAGTAAAGATGACTAATCTGCATACTGTTATGCTGGCCTATTTTGTGCTATAAAAACTATATATAGTATGAATATAGTAAATCTTCAGTAAGCTCTCCTTTAGGTCACTCATGCTCTGTAATGTCACTGCAACAAACCACAATTGGTGAGAGCTTGATTGGGTCTATATGTGTTTCTCTTTGATATGAATGAGATCATAATAAGCATGTCTAAGCTAGCCTAACTTAACGTACCACTTGACAAAACAAGCTACATACTATATACAAAAATCTAGCTACAATCTGTTCATCAGGACAATGTAATTTAAATGAATGCAATGTTTCATTCCAGATTTATAAGAACAGAACTACTAAGATGTAACATGTTTAGGCTTAGAAGCTATTCATTTATTTCTTCAGGAAATACTCAAGAAAGTATTTTGCAGTTAAAGTTTCAGGTTTGCTTTCAGGAGTGAATGAATGTCTGGGTATATGAGAATAAGAATTATTTTTACCAGACTATGCCTAGGAAATTTTAGAGAGACAATTATCTAAAGAATCAACATTTAGATTTTCAAGCAGAGTTCAGTTTCTATTAAAACACCAAAATAAGAGACCAGAATATGGGAAATATCCAACCAGCTGACTGTTTCCTAAGGTGCAAACAGAAGAGCAGCTCCCAGGTGTAACTCAGAACAATTTTTCCAAAGCATTTTGAGTTACGTTACCCAGACCAAACAGAAGTTCTCTGTTGGTTCCAGGGGCGATGGGAATCTAGCTGGGTCTGGGATCCTGCAGCCAGGTTCCCAGAGCAATGTCCAGGGCTTTGCTGTTTTCAGAATGGGTGGGGGCATGAACAGTGCGTGCCCTCCGGCAGCTGGGGGTCACAGCTGTGCTGGCGGTGATGGGAGCCTGGCAGCGGTAAGCAGGGGAGTTCCCACAAATGCCACCAGCACTGTTGATGGCAGGAGGGGGAGGAGGGGCTAGCACTGACCAGGGGTCAGCAACCACCCACAGGCGCTGCTGGCAACATCAGCATTGGCCAGCAGCGATCATGGACTGCCCGCAGATGCTGCCGGTGGTGTTGGTGGCAGGGTGATGAGTGGTGACCACCTTCAGGTGCTGCCAACAGTGTTGGCAGTGCCTTTTTGCAGAAGGTGTACCGCCACACTCAGGGGGTGCACGTAAACCTGTGTGCACCCCCTACGCATTGCCCCTGAGTAGGGGGAAAGGCAGCAGAGGAAACTCATTCTTAGGGCTCCCCAGATGGTGCTGAAAGGTTGGGGTGGATAAACTGAAGCCCACCCCCACACATCGGAGAGGCCTTATCTGGGGTTCTGAGGGCCTCCAGGGCATTAGCAACACATAGACAGTGCACATGGGTGCACATGCACCCCTTTAGTTTGGCAGTGCACTCCTGCAAAAAGCACCACCAACACTGCCAGCAGTTCCTGAGGACAGTCGCCACTCACCATCCCCTCTCCCCTCACCACTGACACCTCTGGCAGCATCTGTGGGTGGTCTCCGATCACTGTTGCCTGCTGTTGACACTGATGGTGGCATCTGTGGATCGTCAGTGCTCGCTACACCCTCCCCCTGCTGCCAACACTGCTGTGGCTGCCTGCGGGAGCTTCCCGCTTGGCTCACCCTCTCCCCCAACACCTCTGCAGCTGCCTGCAGGAGCTCCCTGCTCACTGCCACCATACCCCCACCACCAACACCACCATCACTGCCTGTGTGCAGTTGCTGGGCCCCCCCCAGCCTCTGGTGGCACGTGGCATTCATTTTTCCGGGACTACAACCACGGCACTCCTGCAAGGCAGAGCCTGGCTGTTAGCTGCACCACTGGTATCCAGGGGTCAAAAAACCCAAAGGGAAAAAAAACAAGAAATGCATACTCAGGCAGTGCACCCTTGAAGTGCAGAGAACACCAGACTGTGCAGTATGTGGTGGTGCAGACATGTTTATGGCACCAGATACTGCACAACTGTGCTCATCTGGTTGCACCCTTAGTCTCTGCTCATTAAGAGTTTCTGAATATTAAGCATTTTTGACAATCTGACTCTTATTTAGATACCTTTTACTTAACTTTAGCTAGCTCTACCTCATTTCATCCACAACTAAGATCTGAATTTCCTATGTAAACAATTTTGATGGTGTTGTAGGTTAAGTGTTCCAACACTTAAGATTTAATCACAAATTTTGTGCTACTTAATAGCTTCAAGGGCCCAGCTCCTGGAATCATGAACCTGGAAACTGAATGTTCTCAGGACCTCTCATTTCTTTTAATTTAAGTAAGGTTTTAGCTTTCAAGTTTGCCAAAAAAAATGCAAGGAAAAAAATGTTCAATGATCTTAAGTTGGTGCCGTGACATTTTGAGACCTAACTCATAATTTTTATAAGACTGCAATTGACAATGCTTTACACTTTCCTCTTCAAAGAGAGCATGATTTGGGTTTATAGTTTCATAGTTTCATAGTTTCTAGGGTCGGAA